CTATTGTGCAAGGGGCTTAAGAGATTCAAGCACATAAACAGATCGAAGAAAATAGCACGATATGCGCTATGGATATCAATATCAAATATTTTTGTTTGGCGTGGAGATACTGTCGATATATTTAACATGCATTATGTTTAATAAACTGATTAATTTTTTAGCGCTTTTATCAGTTTAATTTGATACGAATATCGGCGACCTTCACCTCGTACCGAGCATAATAGCACGTCGATACAAATTTACCGTTTTCTTAAGCCAGAAAATTATGTAAACTGCTTTTTCTTTCTCTTAAAATGTATGAAGATAACGAAAATGATATAACAAATATTAAACATATTTAAGACAGAGTATTGTTTTTAAATTACACAAATAAAAGAAATAATAACCAGAATCTTGATTTAGCGCGTTAAAATTAAAAAAAATTAATTTCTTTTGTAATGAATTACGGCATATCTCACGTTAATACAGTTTACACATCGACATATAAATATCATTCACGAGAATATTATGCTCTTAATCTATTTTGGAATTTATAGTCACGTATCACATAGCTCAGATAGGATCACAAATCATTTCCATATATATATATTATTATCGAACGGATCAGGCATACATTCAGCAAATAATTGATTCATTGATTAAATGACTGAAAACGCAAGTGCATATAACATATAAAGCATTCTACATAATTGTTAAAAATATACAAACATATGCTATAATTTAAACAAATAAAAAGTCAGGCAATGTAAAATGGATCAAATGGATAAAATCGAACGCACGCAGAACCTAAAAATTGAGGAGACCATGATACATTTTTTCCTCTCTTCAACATTTTTTTCAAACACTATCGGCATTTTCCTCTTTCATTATCGATTTAGAATGAATAGGAACTTACTTGAACCATTTAACTATTTTGTATACACCCATGCTGCACGTGGTCGACCGGCGCTGCCAAACTTCGACAGGTTGATTGACGTCGCGCGATGCCGACGAGCACTACGAAAGTACGAAACTCGACTGAAACACTCACGAGAACGCCGCGCGCAATCCGCTCTCTTCTCACGACTGAACCGCGAAACTGCGGTGCGGTGGCAAAATTGTATGCGGCCGGACGATACCTCGATTCTGATAGTTTCGATGGGCGTAGTTTTAGGCACGGGCGGCACGGCTCGCCATCATTCCCACTCCATTCTTTCGTCCTGTAGCGTTCGATTGATTGGCTGATCCCTCTACGTGAAAACAGCGATAAGCGGAAGGACGAGGTACCTATTGAAGTACCAATTTAAAGTTGGGAAAAATCTATTCAAGCATACCTATATAAAATACACGCAATTAGAGGGAGCTCGATTGTAAAACTGTGTACAAAGGATTGCGTTGCAACTTGCAACTATATTCTATGGTTTCCAAACCTTTAAAAAGATTGAATTATATTTAGACTTACACAAAATAAACTTACCATTAGTATATACTGCTATAAAGTTTAATAAATTTAATTACGATTAAATAATCGTAAAAAATGTTTATACGTAGAAAATTAAAGTTATTGGAAATGTGCGAAATTTAAAAAGATTTTCCGTAAAAACAAATGGTATTTAATAATATAAATTTTTTTTTCTGACGTGATAAATAGCTAATTGTGTATAAAAAAAAATAAATAACGTTCTGATGTTATTTGTTGCGGCATTTTTACCTGCATTTGTGAAACCTCGAATATCTAAAAAATTATTATTAAAATCCTTAATAATTAATACTGTTTGATAGTAAAGATTTATTAAGTTAAATTTTACAGATAGGAACATTTAGCTGACAGCCGACAAAGAATCTTGTGCAATTGCATATGGTATTCTCGTGATAATTTAAGACCGCTGGGAAGCTGAATTCTTAGACAGTAATTACACAATTTTGAAACTACCCGGCTTTGTATGGAATCTCTGTGCGTAACGAAGTATTCTGATATCGCGTTCCGAGTCTGCGCCTTGGCACGCCTTTTTTCGTCGGGTTGGTTCACGAGAGTATACCGCTACCGGTACAATCGGTGCGATGACTGATAACGAACAATTACGGCACGCAGTCGGCGTCACAAACATAGAATTGAGCCGCCGCGTGTAGGATGAGCCGTATTTTGTAACTTGAGGACATGAAGCGACTTAATTTTATCTCAGATATAATTATCTCATATCTGGATCCGAATACCTAATTTTGCTTGTCACATCTTGTTGAGTAGAATTTAATAAAGATTTTTGTCCGATATAAAAAACAATATAATCATTAACAACTATTTTTATAAAACATTTAAATAATTATACAAGTTTAGCTAGTGTTTTTTTATAGCAATAGCTTGTTCATTATCTTCATCTTTAATATAAAATTTATAACATACAATTTACACTGTATAAATGTTTAAATGTTTCAATTTACTTAAATATGATATCCAGATAGGATGTTTTATAAATCGCGAACTTAATCTAAGTTTAAAATATTAGAAGCCAAGTTGAGAAATATCGTTGTTTCAATATCTGAAAGGATATTGGGGATAAAAAGTCGAAAGGAAATACATATATAACAGAAATTATAAAGTTTATTATTAAACATTAAAATTTTAACGCATTAAAATATACATCAGATAAAAGAAATTGGCTTTAGATTTGCCAGAAAGTACACATTATGAAAAATTGTGCAATTTCTGGACATTCTACGTACGTCAAAAACTTCGCTAAAATTTTTTTGTAGAGACAGCTACAATCATAGAAAAATACGATTAATCACGAACTCATATAATAAACTAAGATATATCATTACAAGAATAAATAACTCAATAAAAACAGTTGAAAAGACATAGAATAATTGGACATAGAATTTCTACTTCATAGTTTCTGTTATTTTTATTAATTAGAACGCAAATGTGTTTTCGTTTTTCTATTACCAATAATATGACTATTTTATATACAATATATCATGATTATTTAAAATTTAAACAACATATGGTCTTGACTGTATTTACAACATAAATTTGACTGTATATTGCATAAAACATAATATATATATATATATTGCACGTTTTAACATTTTCAAATAAATAAATATCAGTAAAAAGGTAAGGAATTATGAAATAATTCGATGACGATCAATGCTATTGGAAAATATTCAGTATTTATGAGATTTTTGTAAATTAGCGAGTGCCCTTGTGCCTTCACGTTTCTATTCACATTCCATCGCGATTTTTCCTTCAGGGTGCTTTCATTTCTTGTTTCACGCAGAATTTGAATGCCTCCCATCCCTCATTGCGTTGTTGAGACTATAAAAGATCAAGTTATTTCACTAATCAACAGTGATTACAATATTTTCATTGCATTTTGTAAATTTCCCGATAATATAATATGTATAGTATATTGTTCTGTAGAGCCTGAAAAATGGCAACCATTCGTACACGTCTTTTCTCAGTTTTGTAGTAAGTGTAGTCGACTTTATAATATTTTATACGAGACATTATACATCTTCTAAGATAATTCTTCAAAAGTGGAATATTATATATTTTCAAAGTGTTTGTAGAAATCCACGATGTCTTACCTTAAAGCCTCTATGCAATCTATCTTTCATAATTGCTATAAACTCCTTGTAGGAGAGTTGGCCGTCTCCATCTACATCGAATAGCGCGAAGACTGTGTCGATTATGTGAGTCGAAAGCATCGTTCCCGTGCATATCTTTACAGCGCGTTGAAATTCGTCTAGAAAAAAAAAGACAATATTAAAAAGATGTGACAAAAGAGTACTTACGTTTCAAGCAGTTCACATTTAAGGGAAATAAATTTAGTTAATTTAATGCAATGAATATTTTTAATAAGTAAAAACTAAAAAGTCGATTATTCTGATTAATATCTTAATTAATATTTACCTTTGGATATAGGATGATCGGCTAATGTGTACATTCGCATCGCTATCGAAAAATCGTCCAGATTGTTCAGAAATTGATAGAAGCGTCGAAACTCCTCGAACGTGATACCAATATGTAATTCCGCTCGATCCAACATTCTGTC